TTTTTTCTGAATTTTTACCACGCCCTCATTCGCATTTTGTTGTTGTTAGTACGGCTGAATTTCGTTTCCTAAAAAGTTCTGTTTACCTGCGTAGATATCGTTGCTCTCTACATCATAACGATAGCCTAGTTGTTAGAGGTCTTCACTGTGGTGCGTGAGAGACTCGCAGCCGGAAAACTACGTTGACTTGAACTTCTTCTGGAGTGCTATCCCAACTCATCTCCAAAAGTTACTTAGACCTGTTGGCCTTTCGGGTATTTATGGCGGCGGTCATTTTCAATCCCTTTTCGGTTGTATTTAATATTCCAGACGGGGCCCAATGGTGATCTCCCATTAATAAGAGTCCCAACCACATTTCCTTCCATATATGTACATATTTACATACATATATAATATATGGAAGATGAACTAGTTAGTGGCATACCAGTTGGATTCTAGTTAACAACTAGTGTTTTCCGCTGTAGGATCTTTTCGTTATGAAATGGCAACCCAAACTGAGTATAAATCAAAAAAACAGCTGTTAAAGAGAACAACGCCGAAAAAAGCATTGAATCATTGAAAAACACTCGTCCAAAAAAACACTATTTAAAACAGAAATGAATCTCAACACAATAGAATTTCAAGTGATATAAGCCAAAGTGTTAAAAATGCTATAAATTATGATAAAGTGTATGAGTTATGATTCCCGATTTTTTTATTCCCGTTATTATTATTTTTAATAGTTGCCAACAAAATCTTTATACTCACAATAGCTGCTCCATAAATTCGCGATTTTGGTTTATTTTTCTTATTAAAATTTGTTATTGCATAAATTCACATGCATATAATATTATACTAGTATGTGGGTATGTACATATTGTATGTAGTCCCCTAAAAATCAGATGATCCAGTTTCGTCTGAAATTAGTGAAATACTTAATTACTTGTATTTTTTATTAGTAATTGCACCGTCGCCGATGATTTATAGGTTTACTTTCGATTTTAACTCCTCAATTCGTTTATTATGGTATAATAGGAGTATAAACACATGCAGGTATATTATGTTCAAAAACACAGATTTATATCTATAGATTATTTTTGCAAATATACATACATATATATTTTTGTTTTATATGAAGACATTTTTTGAAAAATGATCAACAATAAGATTTAACACAGTAGACCGAACGTGCAAAAATTTCATTTAATATCAAAAGACAAATTACCTTTACGAGTATTCCAAATAAGAGTGTTGTGCATATATACATATACGAGGTGTATTCGAAAATTATGGAGGATTTTCGTGCTTTAAAGAAAATATTTATTTATTTTCTTACATCCACATCATCGCCTTCAACATAGTACTCAAGAGAGATTATGCAGAGCTTCGTCCAATGAAAAGAACACCTTTCGAACTCAATGGATCTTTGAGAAAACCTTAAATGCTTAAGCTATGTGCTTTTAATGACATCTAAGTTTGTAAAACGAGAACTCTTTAACGTCTCCTTTACATTTTGGAAATAAGAGAAAGTCACACGGAGCCCTGCCTGACGAATATGGTAGCTGGTGCGTCGTTTCAGTATTATTTTTGGCCAAAAATTCGCGAAGAACTAATGAGGTAAGCAAAGCATTATTGTCAGGCAAAAGCCGGGCTTTTTCTGGGATTGCTTCATACAAACGGCGCAAAATGTGGAAAAGTACTTAAAAAACGCACATTCTTTTTTTCTTTACTGGCGAAGACGCCGCTAACATTATAACAGCCAAGCTAAGAACATTTTGCCATTCATTTCTTCTTTACTCACTTTGACGCCAATTGGAAATACCAAGTATAGCCGGGTGCTTTTTTATATGGACTTTCCAAGGTCTGAAGGTCTCCCTCTTCTGCTTCGACCGGCTGGAACTGCTTCGAATACTTTCAAAGCTGGAGTGGTTTCATCCATTTGGACTATGTCAATATCATCGTATAGCTCGTGCGCCTCAACGTTCCATCGTCTGCGGTATTCGCCGTTGCCAATGCGCAAAGGACCATAAATCGTTGACAAAACCTTTCTATAAAAGGCACTTAGAGCCGACTCATCAGATATTGACGTGGACGATACGCTTCAGCGCCAAATAGTAAGACGACTATGATGAGCGCCGTGTAGAGTTTGGTTTTGCTGAGAGAGTACTTTACTTTTCAAATGCCTGCTCAGTCCAAAGTAGTACCTGTTGGCAAGAGTGATTCAGTGTGGGATTTCCAGGCTGATATTGTTGTATATGTAATACTGGTTCCAGGATAGACGAAGTTATCTACGGCTTCAAAGTTACGACTGTCAACAGTGACGTCGCGAATGCGATGACTGCTTGTTTGATGACAGGAGATATTTCATCTTGCCCTTATTCACTACCAGACCTATTTGCTTCGCTTCTTTATCAAGTCTGGAGAGAGCAGGACCAATGTAGAGGTTGTGAAGCCCTGTGATATCAATATCATCGGCATACGTCAGTAGTTGTACACTTTTTTAGAAGATTGTACCTTCTCTATTCAGCTCTGCAGCTCGTATTATTTTCTCCAGCATTAAATTAAAGAAATCACACGATAAATAATCACCCTATCTGAAACCTCGTTTGGTATCGAACGGTTCGTAGAGGTCCTTCTCGATCCTGCCGGAGCTTCTAGTGTTGCTCAAGGTCAGTATCAAATTCAGACTTAGCCTCAGAGCCAGCTCCTTATCGTTCTGTCGAAGGCTGCTTTAAAATCGGGGTTTTCCAAGATAAGGTCAATCAGTTTGTTGACGGTGGGCTTCAGTCTTTCACACAGTACGCTTAATAAGACCCTTTATGCGATGTTAGGAAGGCTTATTTCACGGTAATTGGCGCATACTTGGGGATCATCGGGCTTGCTTTCATCCTACCATAATTTGCAAAGAAGCTGATGCATGCACCTGATCAGGTCTTCACCGCCGTATTTGAATAGCTCGGCCGGTAATCCATCAGTACACGCAGCTCGTTGGTCTTTAAGCAGGCGATTGCTATACGGACTTCTTCAGAGTCGGATAACGGAACAACTCTGGATGTTTAATTTTTACTGCCATTCAGCAATCTGGAGAAGTGATCCCTCCATAAATTCAGTATACTCTGAGCATCCGTCACTGGATCACATCCCTGGGTCCTACAAGAGTTTGCTCCTGTTTTGAAACTTTCCGTAAGCCGCCGTATCTTCTCATAAATTTTCCGAGTATTACCCTTGTCGGCCAGCTTCTCAAGCTCTTCGTACTCACGCATTTCGGCATTAAGAACAATAATAGCATCAGCTTCGTAATCCAATGCTGAATCACACTTCATACTTTCGACTGAATAGTCTAGTAGAAGGAAGGTCCTCTATAGGCGACTAAAAGCCAAACCTTATAGCGGTCATATGTATGGTGAATACTGCCTTCTATGTACCGTTGAGTTGTACGAGATAAATGAGAAATACAGCGACATAGAGCGGCGAATTAAAGGATAGCGACTGCGCTGCCTAGGCAAGAGGCCTTACGTATGGTCGAAAACACTTCAAAATTGAAAGTACCGACGTACCGTCTGCTGGAAACTAATAAAGAGTTGGTGCATTGTTGGAAAGATGAAGTGTACAAGGACCTGATTTCACTTAGCGTGTCCAATAGGTAAAGAAAGAAGTAAAGACAGGAGCGTTTTTGTTTATTCGATTAAATGATGCCTACGACAAACAAGAAGAAGAGGAAATTTCTTTGAGACATACCCACAACCAGAGATAATGTGGTCTGATGTTCGATTATCATTTCATGATTCGCTTGCAGAAATATTATTAATTATAATTATATTTATATATAACACCGTGTGTATGCAGTTATAAAAATTATAAAATAAAAGTAAGTTAATCATAAATTAATCACAATAACGCTTACCACCGAAATAAATTGATAACCATCAGATGTCAGTTGACAAGAAGCAACCCCACTAAGCCTTATTAGTTGAAGCTGAGCAATTAGATTTTTCTTTATTTTTTTTTAGTTTTTCTTAAGCGCAAAGCTGTGTATGTACGTATAGTTTTACTCTTAAGTTTGTAAATCAAAACGTCATAGATATTTTTAATAACTACGTGTATGGGTGTAAATATGTATGTATGTAGGCAATTCATATGGATTGTTGAAATGTTGTTTGAATTGCGCGTGTGTAGAGGCGCCTATAAACACATACAGTCCCCTGCCTGGATTAAGGTTTGTTCAACGCCTTTGAAAATTAAAGTGTGAGCAATTTTTCTTAAACATACATACATAAATACAGGCATATACATATTTGTGTGTTTGTAAAATATTTATAAATCATTTATTTAGCTTAGGCATTCACTTTTTTTCGCTAATGACTTATTTCACGTGAGGAAGACTTTGATTGAATACCTACACCAATACAATACGTACATATAAGCAGCAGCGTAACGCGTCAACAGCTACGCGACATAATGCGTTCAGGCGTTAGCGAATACTCTAAAGCGTGTGTATGTAAATCGGTTAAATTTAAAATGAAGCACATGCATACATATCTATATATGCAAACACACATGAACAGTCACTCAAAGGCATCATCATTTGAGGCGTTAAATTTGATTTTAAAAGCTTGAGAGCGACTTTTAATGAGTTCACATCACAGATTTGAGATTTCAGCGATATTTAATTTGTAAATTTTTCATAATATTTATTTTTCTTATTTTTATTTATTTTTTATATTTTAGCAATAGTATTTTCCAACTATTTCTAATAAACATATTTTTTGTTTTTTTAATTTTTATTTTTATTTTTATTTATTTGCTTATTTTTTATGCTTCGCGTTTTTAGGCAATCAACTCTTGCTGAGGAAGCTACATATATACACATATATACTCGTGTATCTATGCACGAGCATATGAATGTGCTGTTGTTGTTTGTTTTTGTTAGTACTTTGATGTTTGTCTTTTTTAGTTGGGCCATGCATGTGCTCTTTGCCTAAGGCAGTGGGGCGCTAAGATGTTGGTATGCTCGCTTAGCTAGTTTCATATAAAAGCATTGCTTGCAGCGTATCTGTCAACAGTTAGCAAACGCTTTACAATACATCAACATGTTCAAGATTGTGAGTAGATTTTTTGAATTTTTTTAATTAGAAAAGAATAAACGAAAAGATACAGTGCAGGAAGATAAACATTGAAGGGTGTTTGAACAGTGAATTTTGTGTTGGCAACGGTTCTGTGTTGCAAAATATTGACTAAAGTCATATCAGTGTGTATATGCTGTGACATACAGATATCCTGTTCAAATAAAAAAAAAAAAAAATTTTGAAATTAAAAAAAAAATATTTATTTACAAATATTAATCAAGTTGAATTAAAAATATAGTTGAAAATAAATTACTGTGCAACATACATTTTTGGATTGAAAACTATTCAAATAAAATGATTTCCAAAATAATTGAATAAAAAAAAAAACATATAATTTTAATTTTGAATAATTGCCATAAAATAAAATAAAATTATAGTTATCTTACAATTTTTTCTTTTCAAAAACAACTTTATTCAAATGACTTGAAATTTCCAATCTTTTTTTTTGGAATAATTAAGAATGGAATTTTTATTTGAATAGTTGCTCTAATATATCAAAAATACAACAAAATGTGAAAGTTAAAATTTATGCTTGAAATAAAACACGTTCTATTGCAAAGAAAAAATTGCTGGGTTTGCAATATTCTATTATTTTAAGAGATTTTTAATTTTTTTTTAAAACTTTTTTCTCAGTGAGATAATTTTTTTTGTTTTATGAAAAAATCCTTTTTAGCTTGTGCAATTTTAATTTTATTTTAAATTTTTTTTCTAATTATTTTTTTTTGTTTATTTGAAAAATTTCTTTGTAGCTTGTGCAATTTTTTAATTTTTTTTCTAATTTTGTTTTTTGAAAAAATATTTTTTATTTTGAAAAATTTCAATATTTCGAAAACTACTACTTCTCTTAACTTCTACTGTTCATATTTTAGTTTCTTTTATGGATTAAACATATTGTATAAACTATACACAAATATATATAGATAAAAATTAAATTTTTCACGAAAGGGAAGGAAAATGTTCTTAAAATTTTCTACACTGGTCACCTTACATTGAACGTACAATACAAACAACATTGTCGTGAAATTATTACGATTTTATTAGATAATTAAATTTTTAAGTGGCGATTAAGGACCAAAACAACTTTTTCAGTTCGCTAAAAGAGCAGCAGTGAAATTGGCGATAGAGCAGAAAGTGTTGCAGGATTTTGGTCGTATGTAGTGTTTCTGGTACTCCTATGGACGTAATGTAAAGTCCATATGAGACTTCTCAAGCAGTCTAACCTAACCTGACTTAAGTTGCGACTATTAAAGAATTCCTTATCAGGTTCAACACAATTTGGCCTATATTAAAATAATTCAAAATTTTCCAAGTCCACATTTCTTTTAGGAATATCCCTAAGTAGTTTTCCTATGAAGCAAAACCGAAGTATGGGGAAAGAAATTGTGAAACTAGCGGTATTCAAGTTTTAGATTGCTATATTTTTTCGAAATTATATATATAATTCAGATTAAAGTTGAGTAGATTCCATTAAAGTATATTGTAACAAAAGTAAAAGTTTCGGTTAGGCTAGGTTACACCGGCCGGCTGATGCGCCTTACAGAGATGTCTTGGTACTTTGTATTGCAGGGTGGGGATCTGTTTCATTGGGATGTAAAGTAGGCAGTAGTCAAGAAGCCTTTTTTCTGAATGCCTACTCTAGCCCTTTGTATGCGAAACTCCGAGAAATCTCAGACGAGTTCTAGCTAAAGCCGAACAGGAACAGATTAAAACACCTTTCAAAGTACAAGCATTACTCATGCCTTTCTGCTAAAAGGTTATGGCCCGTCATTATTCCAAAAAGCAAGAATTTGTTGTTTCCTTTGCAATTATTTTCTTGATCTTAATGCTTTTACATTAATGCTAAAGCGATCAAACTTCTTTGTTGGAAAAACATCAAGATGTAAAAGCACAAATTGGAGGAGGAGCTCGCTCGTAAATCGCTTCAGCGCTTACAAAGCGCCAATTGTATATATATAATGCGACCCAACTCACCCTGAGCCGGCATCCAGCTGTTTCGGTAATTTCATTATAGATCGTTTTTACCAAGTTAATCGACGGTGGGCTTTATTCGCTCACACGGTATTCTCGATAATAATCTGTGAGCAATATTGTGGACGATTTGGTGGCCGCAGTAACCGTGTGGTTAGCATTGCGTACTGATATTCAGTAGGTCATTCTAGCTACCAATATCCAAAGTTGTAGAATTTTCTAATTGCGGTCGCCCCTTGGCAGGGAATGTCAACTCCTCCGAGTGTATTTTTGGCATGAAATAAAGGATACTCATAAAATGGCAATCAGCCGTTTAGAGGCGGCTTAGTATGAACTGTGGATCCCTCCGTGGCCGTGAATCGTCTCAGCGTTTACAAAGCTCCTATTATATATACTCGTATATATATTGTGGATGCTTATACCACGCTCGCGGGCGGACGGTCTCAATTTTTGTGGATTGGGCAGAGCACATTGAAGTTTTCCTTCGTTCGACGATATTATGCCAAGAAGCTGACTTATGCACCTTTTCAGCTCATTGTCCTCTTATTTGAAAGGCTCTGCCGGTGAGCCATCGACTCCCGTCGCTTTGTTTTGATTAAGCGAACACGTGAACTGTCACCAGATTCCCTTTCTCGTTCACACAGAAGATGTCTACTTATTCTACTTCTTTAATGGCGCTGGCACCGCTTACGCGATTACAGCCGAATCAATTATAGCGAGCCATTCATATTTTCTTTTCGCTGTTTAGCGTCAGTTGGAAATACCAAGTGCAACCAGTTCATTCTTCACCTGATCCTTCCAACGGAATAAAGATTTTCTTCTTCCTCTGCTTCCACCAGCGTGCACTGTATCGATTACTTTCAAACCTAGAGTGCTTTCATCCATTCGGATGAAATGACCTAGCCAGCGTAACCGAACTATGTCAATATCAACGTTCAGCTCATCGTTTCATCGTCTGCGACATTCGCCATCTTATTTCGAATTAATTAGACAAAACGTAAATGACATTTCAGGTCTCTCATCAGGATCATAGAAGACGCCTTATTCTTGTTTAGATGAGAAATGGCAGAGTTCTATCAAAAAATATTTACTGAGAAATCGTAATTGGTTAGCTGTTAGTTGAGTTTTAAGAGCCAAGTTTGAGCACGTCCATTTGTGACCAAACTCCTTATTTTCCAATACTAATACCTTTACTTACTTCCTACCCACAGCTGCTTCTTACCGCACTCGTCGCTTACGCCTGCGCCGATAACATCGACAAGGATGCGCAAGTATTGAGTTTCAAAAACGACGTTGCCGATCCTGAGGGCAATTACGCGTACGCTTTCGAGACCAGCAATGGCATCCAACAACAAGAAGCTGGCAACAGCGTCGGTGTAGCTGGTCAATATGAATATGTATCACCTGAAGGCGAGAAGATTGCGCTTACCTACACGGCCGATGAGAATGGTTTCCAGCCAAGCGGTGCACATTTACCAACCCCACCACCAATCCCAGAAGCTATTGTGCGCGCTTTGGAATACATTGCAGCGCATCCAGCAGCTGTGTAATTATTCCACAGGAATAGAAGTAGAGGAGTTAAAGACACAGAAAGAGAGAGGTAAAGCGACAGAGAGAGAGAGAGAGAGAGAGAGGGGGGGAGAGTGCGGAAGAGTGAGAAAGGCGCAAGAGAAGAGCACTACACAGAATGACAGAACTGCTTTTAATGATAGAAATGCAGTGTTGTAAAGCAGGAGTACTTTGTAGAAGATGTATTTAGTTGAAATGGCCAAGTTGGAAGCTAAATTGCAACGATGAGTTATTTAATAAATCTAATCTAAATAGTTACCTAGTCAATCTAGTTTTCTGAAGTGTCAACGGTTGCTGGGAAGCATTTTTCCCACACAAGCCGCACATTTTTGCCACACTAACTTTGTATATAACGACAATTGAATGTAATTGCATTCTTTTATGCACACTTATATAATATGTATGTCTTAACGTTGCATGAAGAGCCATTTTTTCATAAAAAAAAAACAAACAAAACAAAACAAAATAAATTTCAATATTCATATGTACCTATTATATATTAAATAGCAAAGAGACATTGACGAAGCGCTAAAACGTGTTTAATTTAAGCGAGTTTCACATACCAACATACATACACACACATACGTACATATACATACAACATACAAAACAAACATATTTCTCTATTGTATTAATTAAATCATATTTAGAATAAAAATTGCAACAAAGTTTTCCTCATAGAAAAAAGGAAATAAAAAATTTACAAAAAAAATCTAATTTTTATTTAACTAAAATTCAAAGAATATCAAGTTATCAAATTTAATGGTTTGGTTTGGAAAAAATAAAACAAAAAAATACGTGGCATGCGTGTTGGAGAGCACGAGCGTCCCAAGGTGTTGAGAACAGGTAAATAAAACCACATATCTAGTAGGTAGATGCTTAACGGTAAAGGAAATCATACAATGGCCGATCACAAAAAGGCGAGCTCATAAATGTGTTAAAATGGTAAAATATCTAGATATACAATATTATTATTATGCTAATGATATTCACGCGATAGAATATGCAAAAGTCACAATGGAGGCTTAGAATACGAAAAGAGCTGTAGACAATGAGGATCGCATAACTTATAAAATGATAAGAAGAAAAATTTAAAGAATATCCGAATATGTAAAGGGTGATCCAAGTAGACAGATCACGCGTGAGTCGTGTCAAGCTGTCATGCTATTTTTGTTCAGTATTGGTTGGTATTCGTGGCCGCGGTAGCCGAGTGGTTACGTACTGCGTACTGCCATTCGGAAGGACAGGGTTCAAGTCCCCGCGTGATCAAAATACAAAAGTTATTGATAATTAATTTAAATAAAAATTAAGTTACATTTTCTAATTCCGGTCGCACCTCGGCAGTGAATGTCCACCCCTCCGAGCGTACTTCGGGCATGAAATAAATGCCCCTCTTACAAAAAAAAAAACCATCAGCCGCTCGGAATGATTTCAAGACGCAAAACCACAAATTGGAGGAGTAGATCGGCGGACTTAAACTTTATAGGGAACTTTTGGGGAATATTAGTAAGAAATATTTATGCAAATAACCCTCAATTCGACAATACAGATGAGCTTAAGGCTTCAATTATTACCGAGTTGTCTGATTCAATTTTGTCATAACCCATGGCGAAAAGTCCCAAAGTCCTAGGAAAACTTTGACTTAGTAAAGTGTCTTAACATTGTGAAACAAACTTTAAAATAAAAATCGAGCTTTCCATGTGACATCGTTTCGCGCTATGGACTCTTGAAAGGCTCCAATCCGTTTATTCAGTGTTGAGGCCTATTTATGGCTCAATGGGTATGTAAACAAGCTAAATTCCCGCCTTTGGGATGAAGAGCCACCTGAAAGGATTGAAAAGCTGTCATTTCATCCAGAAAAAAACAACGGTTTGATGTGGCTTGTGAGCCGGTGGAATCATCGGTCCATATATATTTTTTTTTTTTAAATTAAGTCGGTGAGAACGTAACCGTCAAAGTCGAGCGTTATCGCGTAACTTATATCTTTATACTGTAGCAGATTAAACGCCTACCTATCCAGACTCGACCCCGACATACCCACCGTATGTCCTGCATTTAGATAGTCTTCACCCGATACAAACCACCTCTTTACTTGCCCCCTCTGCCTCTGTTCCGATACCGTCGAAACAGTACGTTTACTAGACCCCTGAGAGAGAACTCGATGACTTAGATTGCGGGGTTAACGAACCGCCACAACAACAACAACAACCGTTATCGCACCATGAATGCCGACTATTCGATGACTGAAATTGAAGCACGTGATATCGACGACATATGGTTTCAACAAGAGGGCGAGTGAGAGAACACTTCAATATCTAAATGCATTTGAGAGCAGATCAAAATCATGATATCGCAATGTTAGACTGTTAGACTTTTTCTGTGGGGATATGTAAAGTCTAAAGACTATACGGACAATCTCACTTCGATTCAGGTCTTGGAGCCAAACACCATCACGCGTGTCTTTCCCCACTTACCAATCGAAATGTTCGAACGAGTCATCAAAAACTGGACTCAACGAATGAACCATCTGAGACGTAGCTGCAGCGAACATTGGAAAGAGATATTTTTTAAAAAATAAATGCCATAGAATATTCTTTCGAATGATAATAAACATTCCTCATTAAATTTGAATTTTCTGTGTTTGGATCACCCTTTATATATACGAGGTGTGAGAATTAAGTAATGAGACTGATTATATTGCGGTGATTGTGGTAACCTTGCGACCTTGAAATTCCCTTTACCTTCTCCCGACATTCTGCTCTAGCATGTTTGGTTCGCCTGCTGTGTCGTGTTGAGTAAACGTGTGGCCGTGATGCTCGTCACGAAAACGATGATTATTGCCTTTTTTGATAGCCGTGGAATCGTCCACAAAGAATTTCTTCCACCGGGGCAAAACGTAAATCAAGTCTAATATCGTCAAGTACTCGAAAGATTGAGAAAACGAGTCAAAAGGGTTCGCTCAGACATCGCTTTTAACTGGATCCTTCGTTACGACAACGCGCCGTGTCACACCGCCCTCAGCGTGTCTCAATATTTGGCCTCTAAAGGGATCGCCGTGTTGCAACAACCGCCTTATTCGCCCGATAATCCACCCTGTGACTTCTTTTAAAACCCATTTTGAGTCGATTGAGGACATCCAGGTGGCACTGACGAGGGTACTCGTGGATATCCCAGTCGCAGCCTTCCATAAATGTGACGAAGCACGGAAGACATGTTGGAATCGTAGCTATACAACGATGCCCAAGGGAACTGCTTTAAAGGGGAGGGCAGAGTTGCAGAATCATTCTCATCTCATTACTTAATTGTCACACCTCGTATATATTAAAAGCATAACTAGTAACATGTTTTAAAGAATTTTTATATGCCATTACGTCAGCAGCATAACGTTCCCAACGTTCACACGCTAACACATGGGCGGCTTCACGCTTTCTGTGCAAGAGAACACCAATAAACTTTTTTCCTTGTCTTTAATTTATTTTTCAAATCTATTATTCAATCATATGGGCATATTTATCACTTGATCGATTTTTTTCTTTTTGAGACAAAGATTAATGCCACCAAAAACGCGTTAGTTTTTTAGTAAAATTATTTTCCACGGTTGGAAAGAGTTCCGCCTGGAAAACGTTGCAGTGGTCTGGCAGTCTTATGTTCATGGTTAATGCGATCATGGAAGAATAAATACCGCAACCAGCGAGCTTTAAGTCATCTGTTTAGATGGCTATGGCTCCCAGATCGAGGGGGCATGGTTCCCCAGTCATGCCTGTTTGGTATTCTCGCGCAGAAAAAATTGTAGAAGCACATGCAGGTGGTGGTATAATTCAACTCCTTTGGCACTGCTGCAAGGGATAATATTTTTGTGGGTCCTATACTGCAATTCCTTCAATGTTGAGCTGCATTCAATCTCATTGCGTTGCAGCCCACTTTAGTTGTCGCTAAGCGCCAATTATATATGTATATATCAGGTGTACAACTTTGCTTCCGCCGTTTTTCGATAGGTGGCTGTACCGGCTGAGGCTGGTTGAAATACATAGATGATAATGCCTTTAAAGTGAGTGTGGACAGTGCTTAATGAATTGTCATCGCCGTTTCAGTGACAGTTGTT